CCTTTGATGATGGTTCTCCAAAGTCATGTCTAACGTTATTTGCATTTACAATACCTACATCATCATTCACACAAGAATCCTTCCTCAGAAGGGGATTATAGTCGAAAACAACATGTATAGACTCTTTTACCACAAAAGTTCTTTTATTAAATACTCGATAAGCTTTAGAATTTAAGGAATAGCCCAGAAAAATTCTTTCATCACTTTTAGCATTAAATTTGCCAAGATTTTCTTTACCGTTGTTTAAAACAAAACATTTACATCTAAAAGGATGAAAATAAATAATGTTAGGATTTTTATTTTTTGAAAAGTTCATATGGAGTTCTTCAAAATTGGTCTAATCATTACTCGATTGATAACATAACAAGTGGTATTTGTGGCTTCCACCCAAAAATATTTTTGCAAATTGTTTTCACAAAGCATGGTTCTAACCATTTCTTCCAAAGTTTGATTTTTCCTCTCAACAACTCCATTTTGTTGAGGGGTTCTAGGTGCTGAATAATTATGGCTAACACCATTAGAATTACAAAAATCAGTAAATCCAAGATTTTCAAATTCAGTACCCTGATCACTCCTAACACTAGTTATGGAATAACCTTTTTCGTTTTGGATTGCTTTTGAAAATGTGATGAATTTTTCTAATGCTTCATCTTTAGTACTTAAAAATAGAACCCAAGTATATCCAGAATAGTCATCTACCAATACAAAGCAATATTGTTTTCCACCCAATCTAATAGTTCTAATTGGCCCAAAAAGATCTATATAGATCAATTGTAATACTCTACTAGTTGATACATCATTAATGGACTTAAAGGAAGCTCTTTGATGTTTTCCTTTAGCACAAGCATCACAGATTTTATCTTTATCAAATTTTAGCTTTGGCAAACCTTTTACTAAATCTCCTTTAATTAGTCGTTGTAAAACATTCATACTAGTATGTCCTAGTCTCCTATGCCATAACCAACTATCATGCTCATCCTTTGCAACTAGGCATTAATTAGTCATATTTATTGAATCTAAATGTACCATGTATATGTTTCCTATTCTATGACCAACAAGTATAATCCTATTAGATGAATTGTCGATTACTTTACAACCATTAGTTTCAAACATGACATTGAATCTTTTATCGCAAAATTGACTAATACTCAATAGATTATTTTTAACCCATTCACATATAAAACATTTTGAATTTATATGGAAGAGGTATTAATTATAGTACTTATACCTTCAATGTGACCTTTTGAATTATCACCAAAAGTCACTTCTCCTCCATTTTTATCGTTAAGCTCAATGAACCGGCTCTTGTCTCCGGCCATATGTCTTGAGCATCCACTATCAAGGTACCATGAGTTTAAACTTGTTTCTCGTGCCTTGTAGCAATGCTCTTTTTCCTACAAACATAGATTAATTTTTGAATTTTTTTTGTACCCAATTTCTTTTGGGTCCATATTCATTAGTCTCCAAAATCATAGTCCCCTTAGGTATCCATTTGTGTAGGATATCCTTATCTTTAGTAGTAATGAGTTCTTTAGGAACCCATATACTTCTAACGATTTTTCCATTAGAGGTTGTTCGGGGACCTCTATGATTGTAGTTTTTAAAACTTTTTCTAACAAAGTTGGATTTTGAACTTTCTCCCTTTTCAAAATATTTTGTTCCAACTTTATCTAAAGAAGTTTTAAGATCATCAACTTTCTCCTTTTTCTTTAATTACGGGCAATCGTATTTGACATGACCCGACTTTTATACTCATAGCAAATAATAGGGTCTTTCTCCTTCGGTTCATTTTTGAAGCCTTTGTTTCGTTTGAATTTTCTTCCTCGGTTGGGCTTCATCAATTTTCTGAACCGTTTGGAAAATAATGTCATCTCCTCGTCATCTTCATCCGAATCACTCTCATCTTTTGTGGATTTGAGAACAACTCCCACATTTTTCTTTTTCTCCATCTACTTCTTTGGCTCGTTAATCTTTTCGAGGTCTAACTCATCTTGAAGCGTCATTTCATGAGTGAGGAGTGAACCAATTAACTCTTCAAGAGTTAAAGACTTTAAGTTCTTAGCCTCGATGATTGTCGTCTTCTTTTATTGCCAAGCTTTCTGAAGAGAGTAAATTAACTTCCTCGCAAGTTTCTCGTTTGGAATGATCTCTCCATATGATTTGAGACCATTGACAATCGTTGAAAATCTATCCTTCATAGCTTTGATATCTTCATCTGGTTTCATCCTGAAATTTTCATAGCTATGAGTTAGGAGACTAATTTTATATTCTTTTACCTCGTATGTGCCTTTATGAGTGACTTGTAGTTTATCCTATATCTCCTTGGTGGTTGTACAAGATGAAACTCTCATGTATTCATCCGGTCCAAGAACACAAAATATGATATGGATGGCCTTTGGTTGAGCTGGAATATTCTTGTCTCTCATTCACTCCACAATCTTGGATGAGTGGAAGGTTTGATGTATCCATCTTCTATGACATTCCATGCTCCCATGTCACTTGCTTGAATGAAGTACATCATTCTATTCTTCCAATAAACATAATTAGCTCCATTGAAGAAAGGAGGCTTGTTGACGGGCATTGAATCGAGAATAATGTCGAAGTTTGAAGTATCGGCCATTGATGACTTGAATATCAATACAACTCTTCCCGAATCGACTCAAGAGGTGATTAAACCTTCAAATGAGTGTGACTCTGATACCCATTGTTGAGCTAATCGATCGACGAAATAGCCAAGAGGGGGTGAATTGGCAATTAAAATTTTGGTGGAAGCTTTTGCAGAAAATAGAAAATAATTGCACAGCTATTTAGAGTAGTTTGACTTTCTCAACCAAAGTCGAATTTTCTACAAATTCACTAATTTGTCTTTCTTTTGAGGATAAAGAGTAACCTTACAAATCCCTCAAGAATTATACCCCAAATTCTTTAGAACGCTCTCTCCCAAAGAGAACAATACAAATTTTGCAAACTTACAGAAAAACCTCACAAGGAAAGATGTTTGCACAATTATAGAACAAAGAAAGAACACTCAAGAATAATATAATTGAGCACAATAAGTGTTCTTGAAAGAAAAAATGAATATTGAATTAAATAGGCTTGAAAATTCTCAAACTTGAGGTTTGATGCTTTCTCTTTGATTCTCTCTCAATTCTTGTTGATTGTTGTTGATCAATGGCTCCTAAGCTTGTTTAAATACACCTTAAATCAATTCTGAACATTGGGGAAATTGGTGAAGTCAATAGAGTCGTTATAGTGTAATTATCAATTAATAAAATAGTTGAGAAGCGTGGGGGTATCGATACCCCTCCATAGGGTATCTGTACATGCAGTGTAAAATTCAAATATTTCGACCGTTAAGTGACTAAGGGTATCGGTACCATCTGGGGGGTATCGGTATCATCTGGGGGGTATCGGTACCATCTGAGGAGGTACCGGTACCATCTAGTTTTTCTTGAAGCCCTTATATTAAAAATAATTTTTGGCTCGATTAAGGCTCGAAATACTTTGTAATATTTGTTTAAAAAATATTTTGAGATTAAAACATAATTTTACACTTTAAGTAAGGATTAAATTTTTCATTTGAAAAACTTGGAATAATATTTTGATATTCGAATAATTTAATCAAATGTAATTCAAAAATGATTATAAAATCTTAAAATTCAATAACACTTAATTTGCTATATCGAAACATCAAAATGTTTTCAACAAAAGGTTAAATACCTTTGAGTAAAAGATTAATTGCCTAATTGTGCATTTGACAGAAAGGTGTCAATTATGTCAGTTAGATGAAAGGCTAAATGTCTTTGAGGTAAAGATTAAATGCCTAGATGTGCATTTGACAGAAATGTGTCAATTATGTCAGTTAGATAAAAGGCTAAATGCCTTTGAGTTAAAGATTAAATGCCTAGTTGTGCATTTGGCAGAAAGGTGTCAATCATGCATGTTAGATGAAAGGCTAAATGTCTTTGGGTAAAAGACTAAATGCTTAACAACGCATTTTGACATAAACGGGACATTTATTGATTTGAATAAAAGTATTGTAAAGGAATCCCATAAAGTAGACAATTTATCATGGTTTTTATTGTCAGGACATACTTATGAATAAATTATAATTCTTTTACAAGGTTATGCATCACTAAGTAAATACTTATCGTGTGTTGATTTCACGCGTAGGTAATAATCAAAGATTTGCCGAGTAAGGAGTACAGTGGCAACAACTTTCATCAATTAAAGGTTGACTTGTCAGTAACATTGAGACAATCTTATTCATTTTGAAAACTTAGTTGGCATGTAATTGAACTTAAGAAAAATATTTTGTAATGTATTTACAGTGATAGTTATAGTAATATGCTTCTATGAATGTTATACTATTGTGTGGTTTTAAAATTTGAAACAAAATTTTACGGGTTTTTAAATGACAAAATGTTTTAAAAAGTGAGGTGACATATGTATCTCATGTACGGAAAGGTATACGTGAGATGGGTGTTACATATCACCTACAACAAAGACAGTCTGGAAGATAGAAACATTACAAAAAAAGTAAGGTACGGAATGTGCCAGTCCTCCAAGTGTCTAGTCCTGGGTATCCATCTAAAAGCATCTAAGGGGGGGGGGAATTTTGTGGGAGTGAGCTAGGGATCTCAGTGTGTTCCAATAGTGCATAATAAATGTATACCCCCAACTCGTATCCGACCTGGATACGAATCCGAGGTGTCACGTTGACTTTTCACATCCTTGACTCTTGAAAAGTGTTTGAAAATTTAATCTTTTATTTTAATTAAAGTGGTGAAACCCTTAAATTAAAGTAAATATTGAAAACTCAAACTCAATTTTAAAATAAATATTTAATAATTTACATACATGTAACACAATATGTTTACAAAACTGATCAGAGCATATGCGATTTAAACATTTAATTACATGCCAACAAAAATCCAATATAACAAAATAACATATTGTTTAAAACGTTTTTGATATGATCTTCAATAGAGAAGAGATATGTTGTCCTGTCCTGGACCTAGCTTTGTTCACCTGGCTTCTTTGAACCTACGTGTCAAAACACTCACACGCTAAGTCTTTAACTTAGTGAGGCATGATGTGCATAATAAAACATTAAAACATTTAATTTTATTCTTAGTCTTTTATAAAAATTATAGAATAAAGAAACCATAGTACATTTCATAAAACAAAAACATATATTATCATGCACTGTTCATTCATGTCATTTCTTTTAATAGCTCATGGTATATCACTGAGAACTCAGGGTATAAGAGTACATTGAGGTTGTGCACTGGGTTGCAGTCGAAACAGCCACATAGAATTGCACCGAAGTGCCGCGTAGAATATGCACCGAAGTGCCACGTAGAAATGTCCCAAAAGATCACATAGAAATGTCCTAAAGGACCGCGTAGAAATGTCCCAAAGGACCGCGTAGAATTTGTCCCAAAGGACCACATAGAATTGTCCCGAAGGACCGCGTAGAACCCTCGACTCTTGGCATGCCAATTATACCTCTATCTCTCATATCACATACTTTGGTCTTTACCATTTGTACATTTCCCACAGCTTATATCACATATTCATGTATTCATATAGATCAATTATACATAGTATAAAATCCAAACAGTGCATGTACACGTAGTAATAGAATCAAAACCATGCTTATATTTATGTAAACATGTATTCATAACATTTCATAAACTTTCAAAATATTGGAAATAGACTCATCGCAAGTCTTTTTTCCATATAACAATATATTATAGCATATTATAGTAGTATGCACTCACCTTTGCCTTACTCAGTCCCAGCAAAATCCTTATCACTCTTGGTCGATATCATATAACGTCGAATCGTCCGAAACTGGCCTTCATTCAATATCTACACAATAATACAATCGAGTTGAATATTGAAGTTCGAATTACTATAAATCAATCATCAATAACTTAAGCTAAAATAAACACCTAATTCACAATTTCATGTTGAATAGTATCGGTACTTACTTTATACCCAGTACCGATACTTTCTCTCAATGGTATCGATAATATCCTTCAGTATTGATACCAACCTATATTCTACAATTCTTCTTCAAAAATGGTATTGATACTTGTCCATTAGTATCGATACCCTCAATATTGTTACTACTCCTTCGGTATCGATATTATTTTTCTGATTCATACAATTTCGCCTATTTTTGCTTTGAAGTATCGGTATTGTACTTCCAGTACCGATACCCTTGCTCAAAAATTACCTATTTTATTTCGAAAATTTACCAAAACTCACATAAATCTCCCACTTTTATCTCCTTTCGTGCCTTTAAACTCAACTACACTTATCAAAACCAACTTATATCACTTTAACACTCCTAAACATCCAAAATCCTACTAGAACACTTGAAACTAAAAATCATCCCAATTATTCAACATATCCCAAATCCTTTTCCAACACCTTAAACTTCTTATTCTAACTTATGAAAAGTCAAATATAGCTTCAAAATCCATTTACTAATCATTTCCCATCAATTCTCTCAAAAATACTCTTTACTCAATCACATATAACTTATCAATCTTTTAATTTCTGCTCCTCTTTAAGCTTTCTCAAGCTTACCTAATACCCCAAGAATCAAAATAAATCAAAAATTAAAAGAAATAATTAACTTAAAGATTCCTTACCTTAGCCAAAAAAATCACGGTGGAAAGGAGGAAGAAAAGATGAAGAGAGAATTCGAGACTTTCTTTCTTTTCTCCATATGTATATAATACATTAAGAATGAATTTTAAATTTATTTATTTCCTAAAGACCATTATTCCATTCCATCTTTCAATCTTTTCCAATCAATCCTACACAAAGAAATTCCAATTAAATCCCTAAACTTTTCAATTTATCTAAATTAATCATGAAGTTTTAAAATTTTACACTTTAGTCACTAGCCCGATGTTTGGGGTGTTACAATAAAACTTAATGGTAAATTTTAAAATATAGTTGAGTACAAATTTCATAAAAGTGACAGTAAAGTTTTTGGTAAAAACATTTAGTTACCCTTCACCCGTACACCATATGTAGTTCCCCAGGACTGTATCCATAAAGGCTTATTTTAGGCCTTCTGGGCGTAGGAGCCAACCTAAGGGATTACCTTAGGGCCTTAGAGCCTACCCAAGTAATACCTTGGGGCCTTAGAGCCTACCTAATGGAGTACCTTGGGGCCTAAGAACCTACCCAATGGAGCATCTCAGGGCCTAAGAGCCTACCCAAGGGTCACGTTAGGTCCGTAAGGTTTATCAGCTTGATCAGAGCTAAACCTCCATACTCCAACCTCCCTAGATAGTATCCAAATAAAATAAATCAAGTAGTAACAGTAGTTCCTTGATATATAAATCAGGCGTATTTATAGTTTGCAATAAAAATAGATAACTAGAGAGTATGTATCGAGTAAACATAATCCATAATCAGTAAATTGAGAAAATCATGATATCGATCAAGTAAAGCATTTATAAATCATATTAGGTAAATTATTATCTTTCAGATTAGATAAAACAATTATATAGCACACAAGGAACACACCTAAAAAAGATCGGTCTGGAAGATCTACTAAGCATCGACCTCGTTACGCTCTACAATAGTACTCATACCTAAACCATAATGAATATGGGTTACTATTAAAGAAATATTTAAATCTAAATACTTATAGGCTTAACGAAACTGTACGAGTGATCACGAGATCACGGGGTTGGATGGATCGAGAGGAGTTGGGTCGGGCTGATGAGTGATCAGGAGAATCTCGAGTACCTTTAATAAACAACGTCATAAATTAGTCCTTGACCTTATATTAAAAAGCACTTAAGTAAAATAATTAATTACATATACATGCTTGGGGTTTAACATTCGATTTGGAGGATTTCATGTTAGAATTTGGCAAAACAAACTTTAGATTCGGACTCAAGACGTCAAAAAATATAAAATGTGACTTTTTACAAAATTTAACTTTTTTGTCAAAATCAATGCATATTAAAGTCTATACAAGTCAAAGTCAACAACCTGGGTCAAAATCAACAGTCCATACTTGTTCGGGTTGACTCAGTTAAGTTCAAGTTAACTAAGTGCGAGTCGACTCAGTTTCTAGACAATTCAACTAGCGAAGCACCACTACGCACAAGGGCGACACGTGCGGCAACTACATGGGATGGGGAAAGCAATCGATTACCCTACGACGTTCCAATAGTTAAATTCAACCCAAATCAGACCATAGTTCAACACAATACGCAATGAAATAATCAAAAAAGAGAATCAAGCTTACCCCAACGGCATATACAAAATGGACAATGATGAGGTGGTGATGCCACTGGGATTTTGGTCGGAGAGTGCGAATAGCATGGAAACGAAGGCGGTGTGGTTACCAGACCTCGAAATTGATGTGAGATTGATAAAACCTACAGTGGCTTGTTTTCTCCACGACGAAGCTTCGGTCATTGATTAGCGACGAACGACGAGGATTTCTGAAGATCAGCTAGTTGGGTTTTAATCAGACGGTCCCAATGATACCGGTGGAGATGATCACGACAGTCGGACGAAACTCGAACGGTGAAGTGAAAACAACGGAAACGTTGGGAAAATAGGGAATTTTATTTATAGTTTGATTGAAACCTAATTTAGGGGAAGTTTGGGATTTAAAATCCCAAACAATCGTTTAAATATTGTTTTTAATTACCTCATATCAGTAACAGTGGCCTAGCTTGATGGCTAAGGTATGGCCACCCAATCCATATAACCCAGATTCAAACTACCATAGTCCCTATTTTCATTTTTTTTTCCTTTGCAAATAGGGAATAGGTAAATCCAAAGCTAGGTCTTTGAACTTTCAAGGAGATTCAAAAATTGACTTAAAAAATTTAAAATTTAAAATTTTGTCTCTAAAAATTAATTAGATAAAATCAAATTAAAAGTAAATAAATTAGGGGTGTTACAATTTTAATCAATCATTTTTAATATAATCTTCAAATAAAATAAATTTAAAGTCTTAAACACAAAATTAATAAATTTATGTTCATATTGATTACATGACATATATGGATAATGTATTCCGTCTTTCTCATATCTTTAAGGTATATAGATATGAGTTCTATTTGATTGAAAATAAGAGAATTAAATCAAGTTAACACTTGGCTTACAGTTCTATCGGGTCCTTTGTTAAGAAAACATTCAGATAATCTGAAATCGACTAAGATTCGTGATGATATGTATATTAGAGAGAGGCCCGTACAACTTAAACGGCATAGATACTACCATAATAGAAAAAGTATTCATCTCTTTTAACAGCCCATAATCCCAAACCATAATCGTCAATTATTATCATTTATAATTTTTCTTTTATAATAGTAAATTCTTCTATTAAAATCTTTCTTAACATATAATATCTTCCTATACAAGAATTTTATCATATTTAAATAACATAACACAATTTTTCTAACTAAACCTTGAATCTTAAACTATTATTTCCCTAACATAGCAAAACACTCAAAATATCGTACAATCCTAACCACTAAAAAAATCTTAAAAAATATAACTCTAATTCATTCAAAATTCTAACCATAAGAACCCTACAACTAACCTAAAATGAAAATTGAAAATTATTTGGAAAATGTGTGTTTGGTCAGATAAGTCTTTTTTTCATTACTTTAATATATTTAAATAACAAAGCAAACTAGATTGGGAGGGTCACCTTGCTTTTGCAGTATCCGTTTCGGATTATTCAATTAATAAATCAGATACCGATAGTTATACAAAAAAAAAAGAACTCCTCCAAGTTTCTTGTGATAAAAATTTAAAAATTTAATAAATTTTTACATCGTAAATTTTTATACATCACATGATACTAAAAACATTGAAGGGCCCAATTACGACTATAGGCGAGTTGAGTTAAGCTTAAGTAGTGTTGAGCTCAACTAACTAAAAAAATAGTAAAATTGAGTACGACTCGACTCAAAAAGTAACGAGCTTAATATTTTCAAGTTCAACTCATACTCAAAATAAAAAAATTAAAGCTCGACTCGAAAGCTCACGTGCTTAAAATTTTCAAGTTCAACTCAAAATAAAAAATAGAAGCTCGACTCGAACTCGAATAAACTTGAACTCGAAATAATCTTAGACTTAACTCAATTGAAGCTCAAACTCGAACTTAAACCTAAACCCTTGACATGAAAGCCTTATATATATTTAAAAGAACAACATATAAAATGTTAATATTAATAATATAAAATTTTAATATATTATTTTTTCGAGTTGTTCGTTAGCTTTTTAAATCGGATATCAAGTAGTTTGTTTCGACTCATTAAAAATTCAATTCAAATTCAAACTCAATTCGAAAGTTAACATTTCTTTAATCTATTCGATCTTAAATAACTCACTACCTATATCTTTTCGTCTCATTTAAAACCTTAGCTCCAATGAAAAGGAAACACCATGGTAAAATTATGTTTCACGCGCGGCCTCACCACCAAGAATGGACGGAAAATGAAAGGACAAAATGTCTGGATTTTAGATAATTTTAACATTATATAAAAAAGATAGAATGGTGAATTTTACTCTAAATAGATTCAATTTATCACTTTTATTTTTTTCATGTTTTCATTTATTTAATTTTTAAAGTTATTCAATTATATCATTCTATATACCTAAATTATAAAGCCTAAACTCTAACTCATAACCTTACAACCTCTAAACCACAAATCTTAAACCATAAAATATAACTTTAACGATTAAATTAATACGAAAAAACGATAGAGATAAAAGTGTTAAATTAAATATATTACAGTGATAAAGGTGACCCTTAAAACTATATAAAAAATAAATGAAAAATATCAATAAACACTAACTCAATGAATGCTAATTTTAACTGAATACTAATTCGATTAACATTGATTTTGTTCACGACTTTCGAAGTGGGGCAATATTTGATTCAGTCCTCAAATTTTGACCAACTTTTTATGTTGATCCCTAAAGTCTTTTATTATCATATTATACCTTGAATTTACATTTCATAACACTATTTGGAGCCTCATATATCGGGAATTTTTTTGAACTGAAGAAGAGACTGACGGGAACTTTTAGGGGAGGGGGGTGAATTATTTTTATTAATATTTTAGAATAAATTACATTACTACAACTGAAATTTTAATTCTGAATTATTTTTAATCATTAAAATTTAAATTAATTCAATTATAACACTAAATTTTTATTTTGTTTTACCGTAAATACCAGACCTAAATGACAAATAATTTTACCATTAAAATTTAAATTAAATCAATCATACCACTAAATTTTTATTTTGTTTTAATGTAAATACCAAACCAAAAGGACAAATAATTGTATCATTAAAATTTAAATTAATCCAATCATAGCACTAAATTTTTATTTTGTTTTAATGTAAATATTGGACTTAGATGACTTGGATAGTAACAGCCACAAATATATGAAAGGATGTCAAATTGCAGCCTAAATATATATTTTTTAAATTATACTAGTTTAATGATATCCTATTGGTTGTTCATGTTAAAGGCGTCTCGGTGTTGTATAGAAATCTAAGTAGTGTCGCCAAATAAAAAAAAATCAAGGACATCACATAAAAGAAGGTATTAAATACAAAAATAGATCCTTTTCAAACATACCAAGAGCCAATTATGAGTGAGAGAGAGAGAGAGAGAGAGAGAGAGAGAGAGAGGTTGAAGTTGTTTTTATAAACATGAGAGGAGAATAAAGTTACTTTATTCATGAACCATCTTCTCAACCATAAAAAATCATTTTCGTGGTTTTCAAATTGAGCTGACAAATCAAGATTGCAACATTTAGAGCTTTAAAACTTTTGGATTATTGGATAAAACCGGAATTTCACATGCAGAACAAGTCCATATCATATTTAAAAGAGGAAACCAGAGCAAGGTATCTGCTATTATTAATAACCAACTTAAAACAGTCCCATGATATTCCACTATTACTTTTAGAATATAGCTATGGGTTCCAAGGCCAAGAAAACAGACATTTGTGCACAAAGCAAATCTAAAGTGCTTTAAGGATGTCATCAGCTGGACACAGTAAATTCCCCACCGGATTCGACATTAGCTTCACCTTAAGGTCCTCAACCAGGAGGGTAAACCTCCTAGAACGAGTGCCGAGCCCTTTCTCGCCGAGGTCAAGCTCGAGACCAAGGGCATGGGTGTATGTTGCTGAACCATCAGCCAGAAACTTGACATGCCCATGTCTTCATCACAAAGGGGGCATTCACTGCAAATTCAATTCACTCAAGTCAGATTAACAGGATTTTAGAAACGATACAAAGCTAAAAGCTAGAAGCTTAAAGTCTCCATACCTTTCAAACATGCCAGTATCAAATTTCTGACCATAATCAAATCAAATAAGGTAATCAAGCAACTTTAAGGTTTACATTCTATCGCTTTATATACATTTTCCCCACTTTCAGAATTTTGAATAAATATTTACATTTCAAATAAGAATGTTTTCCAGAATTATATAATTCAAATGAAGATAGGACATTATCTGTTAATGCATCTAAACAATCCATGTATTTTGTAGTCAAAAGTGCAATTTAATCCTTGTATTTAATCTATGTACGCCTGATAACAGTGTAGGCAAGTAACATTAATAACAATGCTATTGAAAAATTTCCAGAATACTGATGTGGTATAAAATCCATGTATGAATTGAAATATGACAGAACATACATTAAGAAATTATTTCATGCTTTAGTTCTATCTGCAGATCAGGCATTGTCGAGATTCAAAGATTTAGGTTGACATTTAAATGATTTTCCATTAACATAATTGCCAGTTTTATTTGTTTGAACCAATATCAAACATACATGCATTGAATACCCGAGTTCTATTTATCCAAAGATAAAATTGCACTTTTAACTATAATAAAGACCAGATAGATACTTTCACCAACATTAACACTGTCAATCAATAAACAATGAAACACAAAATAATTTAGATTGGAACTACAAAAGAAAATAAAAACACATATATTCTAAAAAAATGTTACCATTTTCAATGAAAATTGTTTCATACGGAAAAACAAATAACAACCCGTTTTAAACCTAGGTCGGTGTTTTTCTCTCTCGTAAAAGCAATTATAATGAAAAGTAAAAAGTAATAAAATTAGATTCAGCAGTCTGTTAATGGAAACACTTGCACAATTCCTTCTCTTTTAGTGCTCCACATACAAAGTCAAATTTAAATTCTACTTTAAGAAGATTTCACAGATTTCTTCCAAGAATTATGAAAAAAAGATTAATTTGACGCCAATTGAAAATTGCCTTCTCAAGTAAAATAAAATAGAAACAAAATTACTAAAAAAAATAGAAATTTACCGCTGATGCAAATAATTTCATCAACGCCCTTGGATTTAAGCTCATCTGCTTTCTCGATGAACCCAGGAACATGCTTCAAGCTGCGTCACACAAAATCAAAAACTTCCATGAAAAGTTATCCACAAAGAAAAACAATAACAGACACCGTTTCCCGGAAACGGACGGTTAAAAACATCAGGTAGAAGGAGAGAAACGTTACCTGCAAGTGGGAGTAAAGGCACCAGGAACGCCAAAAATGACGACCTTCTTACCGGCAGCGAGGGAAT